GGCTACAAGCATGGACGGCTTCAAAAGGGAATTAGATAAGCATATAGAGCAGAGGTCCATCAGTGGCTATTAGCCACAAGGTATAGATAGCTGCGGTGGCTCAAGTGGTTAAGACGCTGAACTGCAGGCTGTGGAAGGTCAGTAGTTCAGCGGTTCAAGACCCGGGTGCCGCAAGACAGGGTGAGCTCCTGTCTCTAGTTCCAGCTCCTGCAAACCTAGCAGTTCGAAAGCAAGAAATTGCAAGTAGATAAATAGGGACCACTTCGGTGGGAAGGTAACAGCGTTCCGTGCGCCTTGGTGTTTAGTCATGCCGGCCACATGACCACGGAAACATCTTCGGACAGCGCTGGCTCTTCGGCTTTGAAACAGAGATGAGCACCGCAACCCTAGAGTCGGATTCGACTGGCTTTCGAGCAAGGGAACCTTTACCTTTTATAGATAGGGACTCTGGGGCAACGTGATGCTCTGTCATCTTGGTGCTTGGGGGGGGTCAACAGTGGGAGGGCTTCTAATGTCCTGGCCCCACTGGTGGACCTCCTGATGGCACTGGTATTTCTGGCCACTGTGTGATACAGAGTGTTGGACTGGATGGGCCTTTGGCCTGATCCAACAATGGCATCTCTTATGTTCTTATGACCTGGCAACCATAAGCTCACATGAAGCATGAGAAATGAAAAGCAAAAAGCTTGCTATCGATTCAGCAATAACCAAATGATGTAAGTTAGAAAGGAAGAGGGAGTAGAAAAAATACAAAAGGTGTAAGGTCTCATCTGATGAAACCTTGAGTGAAACGGTCCATTGAGCGCTGTAGGTCAGAAAGAAAAACTTGAGACCAATTTACTTCAAAGAAACCACCTTTGATGATTATTCACTGGATAATTAAAGAAGATATATTTTTCTCTAACAAGGTTTCGTTATCATATCACGGTTGTTTTTCCTTACAAAGTTGGCTTTATTAAAAAGCAGGTCTTTAGCTTAGCCTCAGCACTAATTGATCTGGAACCACAACACTAAACATATTTGCAATAATTATTTTGTTCAATTGTTTTTATTTCAGTCATCCCTAGATTCTGAAAGAGCAACATTCACAGGCAAAACATTTTGATATGTGAGATATCAAATGTCAAAAATAATGTAGTGATATGCTATGGAAAACTGGTGGTCTCTGTATGAGATGAGTTAGAGAAATGTTCTGGGGAGGATATCTTTCAAGGAATGAAGGGTTTGTAGAAACTAATCTCTCCCTCATCCAGTTTAATAGAGGTAGAGATGTCTGCTTTATCATGAAATAGATGTTCTGAAATAGCAGCTGGTCTAGACAGACAAATGTGCTGCTAAACGGTGTCTCTGTGCCTCAGTCTATAAATCAGGAGCAGAGTGTCAGCAGAGATGCAATTCCTTTTTTTTCCTGCAGAGCAGGTGTTTAGGAGGAGGAGGTTCTTGCACAGGGCCAGTGGGCAAGGGGGCAGGCTGGGCCTGAAACTCAAAGGGGGCCTCAGACATTATTCATGTGTTAATTTTATGGCATTTGATAAGTTTCATGAATTGTTTTAATGTGCATCACGGGCCATCATTTTTTTATTTTTATAATGTCTAGGGGCCTCAAAGGCTGGAAGTGGGCTGGGCCTCTCAGGATCTGAGAGGACCTTTTCCTGTGTTCCAAATCAAATAAGGGGTGGACCAAAGGATGGGGCAGAGTTTCACAAATACAGCACTAGATAAATAGCTGTTTGCAGCACTCACGGATATCAGAATCATGGATATCATAATCAGAACTCTACAACAGATTCCTTTTACAGAGCAGGTTCTTGCGTGCAAGCTGGGGAAGTGTGGCAGGTAGCAATCCACATGCAGGTGACAACTTAATAGATCAAGGGGCTGATGTCTAATGCCTTTATTGGAATCCTAGCCTATTTTATTGAAGTGTTATCGTGTCCCATTTTAGATTTGAGTTTTCTAAAATTAATTGGAAAAGTTATGCTGGACCTCAGAAATCTCAGCAAAATAAAGATCTGGTGTCTCCTAGTAGAAGAAATGATTACTTTTTGACTGAATTCAGTAATAAGATTATGTTCCTCCTTAGCATAACTGCATAAAATATGTTCGGTACTGCAAAAGGCTTTCTCCCCTATTTTAATGGGGGGGTTAACTTGTAGGCGTGTAGCATAAGTAGCATGAGTGAACACACGGAGGCAGTTGTCCAGTCCTATTCATAACTTCCATATTCACATGGTGATAAGATTTGGTGGGGTATGAAAAGGGACCATGTCTTCTAGTCCTGGAGATAAATTGAGAGCCAAACTAGATGGCCCACACCTAGCCCACTGTTTGATGATTGGACTGTCGTGGTCAAACTACTTCCTTCCCTCTACACTGAAAATGAGTAATTTCTTTTTCTTTTTAAAAAACAGCACTAAAATCTAGATATATTGCTGAAGTGTTGTAACAATAGGCATAGGAGGCTCTTTGAATTCCCAGCTTTCATTTTTAAAAAGTCTCTAGCTGCTTCCCTTGTGATGATATAACGAAAAAGGCAATGGGAGAGGCTGCAGAGACTTACTTAAAAACAACAACAACTGTGAATTCAGAGACCCTCCTAAGCCTGTTGTTACAATACCTAAGAAATATATTGATATTTTTGTGCCATTTTTAAAGGGGGGGAGGGTGCTGTGATGCCACTGGTGACAACACACCCTCCCTTGAATATCCTTATTATTGAAGGCACGTGTGGAAGGAAGACCGACTTCACAACTGTGAAAATGCATAGGGAGGGCAGATGTGTGGAACCACCATGCCCAAACTGATTCCAGTGCTTTCGGATCGATTCCCAAGAAAATCAAGAGTGAATAGAGTGTGCAGAAAAGCACTCACTGACACACTTAACTCATTTTAAGTGGATTTATTGACTTTGAAACCACTCCATTACTCCATTGGGCTCTAGAGCTCTTCAAGAGAGGAGGTGGGGCTTCCAGTTTCCTTCCTGTGCTATTTTCGGCAGCAGAAACAGCCCCGAGCAGGGGGGGAGACTCTTTGCCCTTTTCTCTGGCTCCATGTGTC